GTTTTCGTCTGCCCAATTTTGTAGTTTGTTTAAACTCTGTTGAAGTTGTCGTTCTATCGTGTGCATGTTCGTTCTTAGATTTGTAACAGATCAAGAAGTCATACACAAATAACGACCCTTCTGTTGTTTGACAAGACATTTGACTATATCATTGATTTTAAGACCAAACAGTCGGACTGATAGGATTCCACCCTGTGGGACTCCCATTTCCTGTTTAGACGTTTCAGAAAAAGTTGAACCAACACGGACTTTGAAGTGTCTATCTGATAGGTAATTAGATATAAAATTGGGAAGGTTTCCACGTACGCCAAGGTCGTGAAGATCTTTCATGATGCCATACTGCCATGTAGTATCATAGGCCTTCTCAAGATCGAAGAACACAGCGACAAGGTGTTCTTTCTTGGCGAAAGCCTCTCGAATGAACGTCTCTAATCTGATGAGATGGTCATTTGTCCCTCTTCTATTTCTAAAGCCACTTTGAAGAGGGGATATTATATCGTTGGCCTCAAGAAACCAAACCAGTCTAGTGTTTATCATTCGTTCCAAAGTTTTACATACACAACTAGTCAGAGAGATAGGACGATAGTTGTTTGGGTCAGTAGCATCTTTTCCCGGTTTTGGGATAGGTATAATTGTGGAGTTCTTCCACGAATCGGGAATCTTTCCGGAAGCGTAAACTTGGTTGAATATGTAAAGAAGGCATGTTAGTGAAGAGTCCGGTAAGTGCTTTAGAAATTGATATGGAATATCATCAGGACCTGAAGCAGTGTCCTGTGATTTTCTAAGCGAATCAACAAGTTCTGGTAGGGTAAATTGTTCATTATAACTTTCTTTGTTTGATGATTTGAAATTGAGCCGTTTCTTTTCTCTCTTTTTTTTCAAAGACTGGAATTTTTGGGAGTGGTTTAAAGGGGATGAGTTTTTAGCTATGTTTTTTGCAAATGCATCAGCAATTTCAGTTATAGACGAGAAAATTTTGTTTTTATTAATGAGGTGGGAGGATGTTGCCTTTTTCTTTTTCCCACTTATTTTCCGAATCATATCCCATACTTTTTTGGAGGACGTGTTTGATGATATCTTGGATACATATTCTCTCCAGCTGTTTCTTTTGTCAATTTTAATTGATCGCCGAGCCTTTGCCCGCCAAATTTTAAATTCACTGTAGTTTGAAGCAGTTGGGCAATTGAAGTAGCGTCTTAGAGCAGCTGCCCGATTACTGCGTGTTTCAAAAGATTCTTCAGATAAAAGGAACTTCGTAGGTTTTGGAGCGGATTTTGGAATTGTCTTTTGGGCAATTGAAGTGAGTGTTTCAGTAAAAGTTTTGATAGGGTCGTCGAGGTTAGTAAAATTGTCTATGGTTAGTTTTTCAATGCACATGTGTTGGAATTGGGCCCAATCTGCTTTGTGCATATTCCATCGAGGTAGAGGATCATCAAGAGGAGTCCCAATATTCTGAAGAAAAATTGGGAAGTGGTCACTCCCACAAAGATCATCATTTACCCTCCAGTCATAGTCAAGTAAAATGGATGGATGGCATAATGATAGATCAATGTGGGTACGAGAGCCTGTAGCAGGGTGTAAATAAGTAGGGGTATTGTTGTTAAAAAGGCACAAGTTGTTTTTATCTATAAATTCCTCAATACGTCTTCCTCTCTCGTCTGTGTTGGGAGAGCCCCACAGGCTATTATGACCATTAAAATCACCGAGGATTATGAATGGTGTTGGGAGCTGGGAGACGAGATTATTGAGTTGCTCACAAGTGAAAACAATACTCGGAGGGAGATAAATTGAACAGACGGTTATTTGTCTGTGTAATGTTGCACAGACAGCAACAGCCTGTAAATTTGTGTTTAACTTGATCATTCTGTGAGGAATATTTTTATGGACAGCTACCGCTGCGCCACCTGCTGCTCTGCTAACTACAGTTGGAATGTTAGTGTAGAGTGAGAAATTTCTAAGCGTGATTGGGTTTTTGAGCATGATTTCTTGTAGACAAAAAATGGCGGGTCTAAATTCTTTTGATAGATTCTGAAATTCTTCTATATTTGCCTTTAATCCGCGGATGTTCCATTGGATAATTGTATTATTTATCTTTTGCTATTTTGGCTGGATTTCGATGGAGTCGAAGCACGAAGCGCTGAGGCATTCGTCTCCATCTCATCATCGAAATCTAGTAGGACATTGAACCGGTTTGTCGGGTCCTCTGATCCTTTGCCAAAGGTGACATTCAGATCCGGTCCTTCAGATTTGCCCCTCGCTATTCTAATTTTTTTCCTAGGTCTGTTGGTAGGTGATGTTGCCTCTGGTCTCAGTTGGGATCGAGGAACAGATGTGAGTGAGCGAGATCGCTGCGAACGCACATGTGCCCTAGATGGGCCAACCTTTGAAGGGTTTTCTCCTGAAGTGGAAGGTGTTTTTGATGGTGGTGCTGGTTTTGATTGTGGTGCTGGTTTTGATTGTGGTGCAGGTTTTGATGAAGATGCTGGTTTTGATGAAGATGCTGGTTTTGATGGTGATGCTGCTTTTGACTGTTTGTTGTTTTTGGTTGGTTTTCGTATAGACGTGAAACGAGATGGGTCTCCCGTGAGGATTTTCAAGTTATCTTGGCCAGACATGTCTGGGACTTGTGAGCCCCAGGCAGGTATGTCTGCAGATACTTGAACTGAAGCATCCTTGACTGCGACACTGTCAACCGGCGACCGGACTTTCGTCACTTGTGCATATGAGGGAGCAGCCACGTCCGTGCTCTCCACTATCCTCCTAGCCTCGGGGAAGGAGACATTTCGGGTAAATTTGACCCGCAATATCTCTCTCTCGCGATTCCAGGCAGGACAGTCTCGAGACGAAGCAGCATGCTTTCCCTCACAATTAACACAACGCAGGTTGGCAATATCACAGTCGCTTTGGTCCTCATGACCTTCACGACCACAGTACTGGCAAACGGTCTTCCGCCTACATCTTTTTTCATGATGTCCGTACTTCTGGCAGTTACGGCATCTTAATGGATTAGGGATGTAGACGGAGACACTGCACCTTTGGTAACCAATCACTACGGCCGAAGGTAGTGATGGGGTAGCAAAGGTCAGTACAAATGTGTCTGTTGGAACCAACTTGTTGTTCTTCTTGGACAAAATCCGTCGCACCTCAGAGACTGGGATCTCCTCCTCCTGGAAGTACTCCAGTATGGCGGCATCAGCGTCATTACGCAGGGCGGGGCATCTGATTACCCCCTTGCTGCTGTTTAGTGATGGATGTGCTTTCACTATAACACTGATACCTCCAAAACTGGTGGTACCCAGTAGGTTAATCGCCTGTTGTTTGCGAAAAACTTCGATTAGGAGATCGCCAGATCCCAAAGGTTTGACGGACTTTACGTCCCCAGCTATTCCTTTTATACCCTTCCTCAACAGAAGAGGAGACAATGTTGCTGCAGTTTTTCCACTAGTGGTTGACGACATGATGATGAATTGTGGGAATGTGGTAGTTGTAGGGTGTTTTTCTGTGTTTTTTTCATTACCCATGTATGTTTATTAATTAGTTCACTGTCTGTGTCCCCGCCCGCCCCGGAGCCCAACAAGGGGACACTAATATCAGCGCGGATATCCAGCGCCAAAGTGTCAGGGATACACAAAGTAGTATACTCGTAAAAGTATACATAACGAGTATATATATTACCCGGAAGAGCATACTCTCGCGATTGACCCTAAGCCACCGCCTTCTTGGAAGTATGTAAACCAAGGGCTCGGCGTGACCAGCCGATTGGTGATAGAGGGCCCATATCACCTCTCGTCTACCCAGAGTCCGAAGCCAAAGCAGTATGTTGCAGAATATCGGATCATGTCTCCTTCCTATCAAGAGTTTGACAGTGATTCCGACTCTGCTCAGCTACCAGGATCTTCTTCCCCCAGGAATACGAGATGCAACCCACGGCAAACAGGTTGGCTCAAATTGGAGCTACTGTGAAAGCCTTCTGCTACGATGACGCCCAGCGCGCCACAATCATACCCCCGAAATGATCACATACGCACTGAGCACCAACGTACCCAGCCTCGGGACGTGGACCCAGCTTTCTTGGAGGCCCAAATTGGAGCTACTGTGAAAGCCTTCTGCTACGATGACGCCCAGCGCGCCACAATCATACCCCCGAAATGATCACATACGCACTAAGCACCAACGTACCCAGCCTCGGGACGTGGACCCAGCTTTCTTGGAGGCCTCTTCTTTGAATTTGATCGATTCATGAGTAAATGCACCTTGAGGTAACTTTTGATCAAAACTAAATACTGCTGTGTATCAAAGATAGTCTTCAAAGCGAGTTTGTCATTTCACATATTTACTACAAGTAATTAAAGTGAAAGAAATAGAACAAGTTATTACAATATGAGAATGAGAAAACTACTCCTGCAGCAATCTTGTATGACCACTCTCAAAATAAAACATGCACAACTCGGGATCAAGGGGAACATACTTATAAAATTTGAGAAAGATCCCTCAAGTGCTTCCTGAGAAATAGCAATAAAAAACCCTCATTGTCAAAATCCAAGATTGCTGCCTGTCGGGCATTTTGTTTGTATCTGATCAGTCTCAAAATTAAAGATGAACAACAGACCAAGGGGAACCTATACGTTCATATAAAATTTGAGAAAGATCCCCAAGTACTTCATGAGAAATAGCGAGAACAAGAATTGTTTTAGGACAGACCACTGACCACAGGTAATTTGAATAGCCCACAATCAGATGAAGGTGGGCTAAAAATCCAATAATTTTTCATTAGATACTGCATAGGAAGTAATCAACCTCTATCGCAACAAAGATTTTCATAAAAAGGGGCATAACTCTCTGTATAAAGGAAAAAAATATCAGTGCAGAACTTCATATTTGGACAGTTTCATTGAAATCGTAAATGAACTATTGAATACTTCCTGAAAATAAGTTAGACAGAGGAATTTCTACAGAGCACATATCTTGATGCATGAATCAAATAAATAGAAAACTGAAGGTTAATTGTTTTAAGAAATCTTTATTGCTGATCCATCCAATATAGGAAGGTTCAAGTTGCATGTATACATAACTGGCATATAGCCATGTATTCGTAACATTTGTTGTTCTACCGTTGGAATTGATGATAAATTAAAAATGATGTATTTGTAATTAATTTGTAAAGAAAATATCCCATTTATTTAAAAAACAAGGAGTATGATTCAAGGAGATTTGGGAACTTGCATTTATCTTGAAATTATACACTATTTTTGTTTAACATACCAGCATAGATTTGGGTATAAAGCACAGAGACAATTATTCTGAAGAATTTCATCATGTATTCACTACCACAATGTGATGTTTTTGACGATTCATCCCTATAAAACAAGCACATAACATAAAGTGGCTGACTTTTGATCATTTTGTGTGACCCTGACCCCAGGGGTATAGAAATGAGTATGAAATGCTGTTCTTGATACAATGTACATCTAAAAATTATTCATCCTTTCAAAGTTATTCTCATGACAATCATATACAATGTCTTTTTGTTATCTTTGACCTTGTTTTAATACCTATAAATATTTTTGAAAAATATTACACAATGAAGAAAGTTTTGCCCAAACAAGCGCTACATTTCACCACTTGTCATTTGAGCTCTTGTTGAGACCATGACCTTGGGACTATGGATAATGACTGTTATATGTGCACAGAATGAGAAGAAACAAAAACCCGATAGTTATGGTCTGGACATCATTGGTAACAATAGTGAGACAGACTTTTGACCTTCTGGCGTGACCTTGACCCAGAGTAGTTATACACCAGACTGTCTAATTGTGATATATGCATGTATAAAGTAAAATATAGTTTGCTCCTAATATTTCTAGAAACTGCAAAAAACATCAGACAAATTCTGTGACATGCTGAGAATCACACATTTCAGTTCAAATAATTGTTTTTGAATACATGTACAAGCAAATATACAGAAAGATGGTACAATGTAAATGTTACCCATTTATCAAATTTTACTATGGACCAAAAATCTCTAACATTTCCAGAGTTAACTCCCTTTTTCAGCCTTGATTTAATCTTGTATCTTGTATTCTTATTCAAATCACACTACCAAATTAAACAAACTCGACTTGCTGATTTTGGTAAATATTTTTTCATTCCAAGAACTATCATTCTTTATCAGCCTTTACCGTACTTAAAATTATTTTGTAATCTTACTTCAAACTCACATCATATCATTAATTATTATTCTATAAATTACAAACACAAAAGATGCAACAGGTACATGATACGCCCCACATATCATCGTTAGACTGATAGCATAATGCACATCATGGTATGTCGTAGTGATCATGAAGGTTAGATTGCTAGTGCATGTGCACTCAAAAAGTGCAGGCTATGGTGTTGAGAAATATGCAGTGAATTGAATGAAACTGTTGAAACTTTTAATAATCAACTAGCTGTGACCATGAGCTGAAATGTATGATCTTCAACTGATCTTTGGTGTCAGGAATAATTAGTTATAATTGTGTGAAATATCTTGAAATTGTGTGAAATATTATGAAATTGTATGAAATATTATGAAATTTTGATGAAAGTTTTTGTCAGGAACCTGCTGACAAGCCAAGTATGTAATTATCGAACATCATGTTAAAGTTCTGTAGCCGTTACCTTAATCCCAAACAAATAACTGTGACTGGTGTCGAGAACACTTGTGAGAAGTTTTATGAAATTGTTGAAAAACTGTAGTCTGGAACCTGTGGACAAGCTAACTACTGATGACCAGGACGACTCCTAGGAATGCTTTGCCTAAGGTGGGCATATAGAAATGTTTACACTACCACAAATTTTCTCTAAAATGACTTGTCTTGCTGCTGTCATATACTGACTACTTGTACTGTTAGACCCGATTTTATATTTCATTGTCATACATATTGAACACAACGTCGTGTCAAGATATAACATGGAGATCGAATGACAAAACAACTGATGCAATATCAAATATAAAATAATCTGATGTGATACCGGTAAATGTGAGGTAAAAATTCTAAAATATCTGGTTATGCTTTTGGTACAGGATACACTTTTTTTCTGTATTTACATTTGTACAGATGATATGTACATGTGACTATCTACAGCTATGTACAGACAGATACTCAACAATGGTATATACACTCTCATACTGTTTAGCTTTTTTATTTCACACCGTTTCAAATTACGCTTTACTCCAGGCATAGATAAAATATGTGAATTCTGAACTGCCGTAAACTATTAATCAATGTGAACAATTAAGATTACATGTCATGAGTGGTTAAGTTCGAAAGAAAAACTGCAAATTTAGACTCCATTAAAATAAAGCACTGTTTTGCTAACACTCTGAAATAGACAAAAAGTTGCTGTAACCGACATATGCTCCCTCAATAAGCTCTTGGTTTTGCGCAAATAACTCTGGAATTTTCCCCCCTTTAGATTCCAGAAACAAAACATTATCACAGAAATAAGTTTATTTATAACCACCTTGACCTTATTTTATCACCTTGGAACCTGAAGTCAATAGATATTCATCTTCCAAAGGGGCAATATCCATATAAATTTGGTTAAGATGTGATGTTCTGTCCAGAAACTAACAAATTCCCAAAATATTACATCTATTTATAGACTGACCTTTACCTTTGACCTAATGGCCAATAAATCAATAGACTTCATTCACTCTAAAACTTTGTTTACATAAGATGAGTTGTGGAGTGATTGGAAATGTGGTCCCTGAAGAGTGACCTTGATGATGGAGGAATTCAATTATTCTGAGTGACCCTAACCAATGTCAGTGATCATTTTTAAATTGGTATGGAAAAAGAGTTTGGATAAATGAAATGTAGCTATATGGTCATATCACATGCTAACCCTGCCTTTCTTAGGACAATCGATTCTACAGAGAACAAATTGCATGTACATTACAGTACACATGCACCCAATCTTTCTTTGGACAAGTCTCCTTTTATGAAGAACTACCACTCGGCACATCCCTTTCATACATCTCTTTCGGTTACTCGGGGAAAAAAAATCATCTGAAGGTACTTCCATCTTTTAGAATATAAAATCCACCTTCTTATGGCAAATGTTCCTGTAGGGAACTGCATCCCTTTTTTTACACTAAAAATCCCTACAGTAAGTTCTTATCATATTACCCCCCCCCCCCTCCTTCTTTCCCCATAGCTTTCTATTTTGTGGGTACCAGTTAATACACAATAATATATTCAACACTTTCATAAAATTAAAGTTCCATTGCTTATGTCAGTAACATATAAGGTATGTTACCCGACAGTAGTTGTTTTATACCAACTGCTGTCAAATAAACGCAAAATATATATATATAAAAATAAATTCTGTAATTACGATCAGTAAACAAAAACAGAAATTTCAGATTTAAATGAAAACAATCAGATTACATCACTCTCACATACCAAACTGATGTACAAAGTATTCCATCAGATTATGTCCAAACACATTTAAGACATCAAACCACAATTGTAAATATCAGTGAGTGACAACAGAAAGTAGCTTTAGAGTTACTCTAGCCCGAGATGCTTCTGGCCTTGACACCAAATGTTTGACAGATAGATGTCTGGTGTGGGTTCTCTGGCCCAGACACTAGACTTTGACATTTTGACAGATAGATGTCAGGTGTGGGTTCTCTGGCCCAGACACTAGACTTAGACATTTTGACAGATAGATGTCTGGTGTGGGTTCTCTGGCCCAGACACTAGACTTTGACATTTTGACAGATAGATGTCAGGTGTGGGTTCTCTGGCCCAGACACTAGACTTAGTCATTTTGACAGATAGATGTCTGGTGTGGGTTCTCTGGCCCAGACACTAGGCTTTGACATTTTGACAGATAGATGTCAGGGGTGGGTTCTCTGGCCCAGACACTAGACTTAGACATTTTGACAGATAGATGTCTGGAGTGGGTTCTCTGCCCCAGACACTAGACTTAGACATTTTGACAGATATCTATGTCTAAGTCTGGTGTCAGGGCCAGAGGAATCTCGGGCTAGAGTAACTCCTGCTGTATGATTTAGACTATCTATAAATGTTTCACCCCCATCCATTTAATTCAAAAGTGATCATAATGATGTCAATTGACCTTCATACATGCAACATGCCTAGTCTACAACACCTATGCATCTTATGGAGTATGACAAAAATAGTCTTAAACAATAACATACGAGTACCTCAGGGTTATGAAAGAGACCATATTGAAATTCAACTTTTCATGTTCTTATATTAATGCCTTTAATATGTCAACACAGAATTCAGTTTGAACTTAAACAGTGAAAATTTTGACTCAAGTCTGAATCTTTTTCATGACCCTGTGGCTTGTTTTATCCCTTAACTTATACAACCTGAACAGCATGTATGAATCGAAATGAAATAATGATGTATGAATCGAAATGAAATAATGATGTATTGAATGGAGAGCTGCCTAGTGAAATATCTCAATGCCATGATGTAGTGGTTTAACAAGAGTAAATTTGCATACTTGACAAAATATGATGTCCGTAATACACTTTCTCAACTTAGGAACTGTCCAGATATAAATATCGGGGATGTTTTGTATACCAGGAAATTTTTGCCAGTTCAAATAGGTTCCAAGTCTTCATTTTACCCTTCATATCATATTTGCTAAATACCAGGTATGTGATACTTTTTACTAACATTCATACACGATACATTTGTCCTATTATATATTTATAGTGAAAGCGACATATTACTCTGTAGCAAACATTTCCCAATATACATAACAGGTCTTGTAGGTTGTGGGCACAAGACCCTACTTCCTCTAACATGTCCCATATTTATTTCTGGACATCATCCTTAAAGCATGGTGAACACATTCTAGTTTGGAGGTACATGTTAGATTTCCTGGCAAGAAATTGCTTACAAACACACCAAGAATCCTGTTCCAAAACAAATCACTGATAACGGCGAATGTTACACAAACAGATCTAGAGCAGACAAGATATATTTTAGCAATCTACACCTGTACAGTAAAAGTGAACTTTTTTTGCGGTGTGGAAATGCTTGCGTTTCATATTGAGGGCAAAAATATCCAGTGACAAGAATATATTCATTTAAGAAAATTTGAATATGCAAGTTTCAGAATCATTGGCAATGGAAACATTTCCACATGCAAAAATGTCTACTTTTGCAATATAATCATTTAAAAAAAAACAATTTGACAAACACCGTGTACATCTGTAATGTCTGGATTATGATTTGTATAACTTTGTACTGATCTGTTTGATGGTGTTAATGTTTGGAGTGCGACTTGTGTCGATGTTTATTAGATCTGTGTGACTGTTTACTACTGTCACCACCAACACTACACTCCTGTGAAGAAGATGTCTTTGTACTTTTATTCCTGTGATGACCCGACTTTGTTTTCACTTTGTCAGCACTTCCTGTCTGTGATTTGGAGTCTGACAGAGCTGGTAAATCAAGAGAACTACCTCCTGCCGAGACTTTCTTGTTCTGTCGTGCAGTGTGCGGGGTTGAAGTAAAAAGACCCCCTCGACACTTCAGCGGACTTGAAGAGAGGACAATTTCAGTACCCATCTTGTTCTGTGGGCTGAAAACCTTCAGTTTCTGAGGACTACAGTAATTAAATTCAATCTCTTCATCCACACGTTTAACACCTGTTTCAGCAACCCCTCCTGTTCCTATCTTGTTAAATTTTCTCCTTTTTGGGGTATGATTTAACCCCATAACATCAGGTGGCAGGTCTGAACATTCTGCCACATCAGCCTTCCTTTTGTTTGGGGTTAGTCCTCTCTGCTGGTGCCTGTGTCGCCTTGGGGAACCAAATGTTCTTGGACTGGAGTGCCCAGCTACAATGTTGAAGCTCGTGTTCAACTTAGCATCACTTGGCTTTGACCTGTTGAGCTGGTGGTCAATGTAATTATCAAATGTCTCATCCCAGGACGAGTCAGTGTGTTTCCCTGGTGATGTGAATGTACAGTTAACATAGTCAATGTAATCCTTCTCCTCTTCCTCAACCCCCTCATCGTGTTCCAGTTCCCATTCATGATCCGAGTTTTCCTCCAACTCCACCTCCGTAGTTTCTACATACGACATTTCACTGCCAAGAAGACTTCTGCCCGTTGCATGTTCTGGCTGAAATCCTTCGAACGGCACGTCATCCCCATCACTCTGCAGTATTTTAGCCATGCTGCGATCACTCAGCAATGTCCAGCTCTTGTTCAATTTCACCGTTTTAGCCTTGGGCGACATTTGAACAGCTGTAGTTTGCCATTTCAAATTAGAACGATCAACTTTTTTAGAATGTCCTTTATCATTCTTTTCTTTACAAGACCCAACACCAGAATCCCGTTGGCTGATTTTCCTTTTTCTATGCTTTGCTGAATTGCTAGTCAATTTTTTACTGTGTTCAGCACCACCAGACTGTTTTTCTTTCTTTGAATATAGTTCACACTCTTCATGTTCTATGATAGTGAGGTCACTTATTTCGAGTTTCTTGATTGCTATAAATCTATCATCAGTATCATCAGCTGGCCCGTGGAGTTTATCTAAAGGAATGTAATCTATAGACGGGACAGAGTATTCCTCTTTACCCCCGGTAATGTTACCATCCAGCTCCAGTTTTTGTCTAGCACTGTGTCGTCGCTTGCTGGACTGCTGGTCTTTTTCTGTAGAAACTTCTCGTCTATGCTCAGATACATTTTCTCTGGTAGTTTTGCCCTTGTTTGAATCTTTTTCACGCGTTAAATGTGAATCAGTGACGTCACTCTGTGGAGTCTCTATATATAATTTCGTAGTAGTAGCTGGATCAGGGAGCTTGAGTTTCTGAAGCTTTTTGGAATTTGACGATTTTACTTCCGAAGAATGTTTCTGAGATGGCCTCCAATTTCGATTTTTCTTTTTTGATCGTGATGTTTCACCACTGTACCCACTTCTGGGACTGCTAAAAACATTCTGACCTTGTTTGAGTGGAGAAAGATTTCTTATGTCATAAGGATCGTACACTACTGACTTCCTCACTCTGGAATTTGATGATTTTCTGTGGTGTTTATCATGAGATTTCCTGCTTTTGTTATATTTTGGAGATCTATTGAACAATGGGGAAGGACTCCTTGCAAAATTGTCACTTTTATGGTGTAGTGTTGGCGACAAAAGTTTTCCAGTTGAAGACATCTCCTTGCTGTCATTATGTAGTGGTCTGTGCCGCTGTTTCCCATCAGGATGTGGGTTTGTTATTATACTGCCCTTTGACCGATTCTCATTTCTACCATCTATCAGACCAGAAGTTGGTATTCCTGATGAAATTCGGACAAGATTCACAGAAGATTTTTTCTTACCATTTCGACAAGTTGATTCAGCACTTGTTGTTGTTTCAGTTTGCACTTTAGCATTTCCCCCCTGAACACCTGGCGAGTTAATTGAGGTAGAACTCCCCACATTTGTATTTGATTTGACATTCTGTCTCTGATGACTATCATTTGGAGCAGATTTACTTGACCTGACTGGAGAAACTGTCACTGTGATCCTCTTGCGCGGTGTGCCGTCAAGTCTAGACGCAATACTGCTGCTACTGTGAGGACTTCCCATACTATTTGACCGATTCTTCTGTGCCTCTTGACGCATCTGGGACCTTTTCTTCACCATCTCCATACAGTTAACGTAAAACCCTGCATCCATAGCTTCAGGCACATATGCTGAACTTGTGTTTAGATTGATGTTAGTGGCAGTTGACTTTCCCTCTGAATTTTCTATTTGCACTTTTGTGGATGATTGAATTATTCGATGCTGTTTATTGTCCATGTTTTCTGTGAGTGATGATTTCATGTTTTTACATTTTAAGTTTTCTTTTGCATCAGCACTACTGTCTTTCTTTGAAACAACTTTTCCAGAATAAGTTTCTTCGACTTTTTCCTGAGGATTCCTTAAAGCTGGTGAACAATGAATATCCTGTGTACTATCTGGTTTCAGAGGACTTGACAAGGTGGGTTGTGAGTCCTTTGCAGGATGCGATTCTCTGCTTCGTAGGTGTTTCCTTGGTGACACAGGTTCAGGATGCGATTCTCTACTTCGTAGGCGTTTCCTTGGTGACACGGGTTCACTGTCAACAAATGTCTCCACTTCATTAAGATATTTTTCGGATCTTGTTTTAGAAGAATGACTTCTAACTCGCTTTACCACAAAATCATTTTCATCATTCGATTCAAGCCACTGGTGTTTTTCATCATTATAATTTATAACCTTTTTCCGAGTTCTTGGTGAATTCAGCAATTGTACAGGTCTTTCTTCACAAGGTTTTCCTGTACACAGCTTATCTGACGTCCTTGAAATGTTTGATTCTGTAGATACTCCTTGACTTGTGGAATCAATTTTTACCCTACCTCGACAATTTGTACGTATATTTCTGTCCTTCACTGGTGAACGTGTTTGAGTTTTAGTAGTGACAGAATCTTTAACTTCACTTGCATCAAGCACATCCTTACCCTGACATTTTGTATTTTTAACCGGTGACCGACTCCTAGTTTTACTTATGGTTGAGTTTAAAATTTGATTGGCATCAAGCTCTGCCTTACTCCGGCATTTTGTATTTTTAATCGGTGATTCAGTCCTTGTTCTAGTAGTGACTGAATCAATTATGATTTGACTGGAGTGAAGCTTGGCCTTGCCCTGACATTTTGTATTTTTAACCGGTGAACAACTCCTAGTTCTGGTTTCCGTGGAGTCCAAGACTTGATTGGGGTCATGTTCGTCCTTACCCCGACATTTTGTATCTTTAACCGGTGACTGTCTCCTAGTTCTAGTTGAGGTTGAGTCTAAGACTTGACTGGGGTCAAGCTCATCTTGACTGCTTGCACCTCTGTTCTTACTTTCAACCTCAACTACTGTCTTTACTAACAGTCTGCAGGCTCTCCCTTTCCTCGGAGAAGAACAAATGTCTGGACACTTTACATTGGATCCTGTATGCGGACTAAGAGAAATAACTGGTGATTCAACAAGAGCGAGAGATTTCTTGGAAATTGTCATTGAAGAATTATCACCATCAACTTCATCAAAATTGTCTTGGATGTCCTCCAAATTTTCCCACACTCGTTTCTCTTTTCTTAAAGATGTTCCTGTAGGTTGTTGAGACTGTTGACCTTGCTTTGATCGTGACCTTGATTCACGCAGCACTCTTATCCGATCACCTGCTAGGGGAATCTCTCCTTTGGTTTCACAATCAGGCTGTTTGTTGTTCTTATCTTTACATATATGGTTGTCTAGCGACAGATTTCCTGCGGGTATATTTTCCTTGGCTACACTAGGATTGTTCAGCACCCTCACACACGAAGCTTTATCTGGTTTGTTGGACCCACTTTGAGAATCTTCGTCAGCAGATAGCGACTGGCGACATGCCCAGGAGACTCGACTAGGTGACATGTTTGGATAAACACCAAGACAATTTCTCGTCCTCACAGGCACGACATGGTTCTTCATGTCCAATCCGTCACTTGTATAGCTTCGTTTTTCAGGAGAACGGTCCACATTCTTTTGATCTATCACTGCATTCAATGTTTCAGAATCTTTGGTGGGGGTTAAGGATACTTTTGGACCGACACTGTTTGATTTACTGCCTTCCTTAAGTTCACATACTTTTTTCTCCTCAACTGCTGTAACAGATGTATCTTCTTTAGACTGATTACTGTTATTTCCTTCCACTTTGTCAGATTGATCGTCAAGTATTTTTGAGTTACTACCACTTGTTTTAGACACAAAATGAGTTTGTTTGTCCAACACTTTTATTTCTGGCTTCGAGTCCTTTGTTTTTTTCCTCTTTTCCCTGTGTTCTTTAGACCTCTGTTTATTGGAGTCCGTTGGAACAGCTGTTTGTTTGCCCTTTCTGGGGCTCTTTAGTTGTTGTGGTGGCTTATTACCGTTAGCTGCTGCCTTTGCTGCTGCCTTTCCTGGCGTTATCAGTAAAACTTCTTCATCTGACTCACTGAAACATACAAACAATCATTATTTTTCATTTGACTTACCAGAATATACAAACTTAACATGTTATCTTACTAATACTGAAACCTTCAAATAACCATTTCATTTAATCTGACTCATGGAAATATACCAACAACCATATCTGCTCAAACAGCAGCAAAATACTGATTTTAATGAAAACAACTTTCACAAGAGTTTAAATATCAGTTAACAGACACAAATGAATTGTATTACAGAAATAAGTTACGAACAACCACAAAATATGAACAAATTAGTTTGTAAATGTAAATATGTACAAGAATTGTTTAATGTTATATAATTGAGAACCTATGTTATATCTATATGAGCAGAACTTGTTCATTAGATTATTGTGATTTATGCAGACACATAGATGTCTAAACTAACATGATTCTATGCAGATATAAATTCATCTCACCAATTACACACATAGTGTTGGTAGATTTCAAACAAATATGAGTATTCTCTTTGAAGTGTCTGCAACATATCTATTCTCATGTAGCTAAACTTATGTAAAATAAGTGTTGTTGTTTGATAATTATAGTGACTCTTTTGTCTTGCTTTACAGCTGTATTGTCATCTTAGGCACAGGCTGCTGTAAAAACAGTAGCAGTGACTTTGACATTGGCACCCTGAAATACTACCTCATTCAATGTCATCACAGGTAGTTTGTCAATTCTAGGGCTGCAATGATACGCATTCCTCAAGATACCAAACGAATCGCGGTACAATGCTTTCGATATGATACATATCACGATGCAAATATCTGCCTTAAAGGTCAACTTCATAATGATTGAGTGCAGGATTTGTCATAGACTTCTATAGTAAATACTATCAAAATATATTTTTGTATAATTTCTAGTACTTTTGGGCATGACTGCACAGTGGACCACATCTTTATTGAAGGATCAAAAAAATTTAAGTTTACTTTTGAGGAGTTTGATAAAAATTAATTGATAATTTAAGTACTTTGTGTATCACAATACAGGCAAACAAAACAATTTGATACAATACATTAGAAAGTATCGTGATACCAAACAATACGGTATATCGTTACAGCCCTTGTAAATTCATTTGACTTTTCATGTTTTCTTTCTATATATCCACTGTAAGAAGTTTGATTAAAGCTTGATTAATGTTTGTTAAGAATGGAGATGGTTAGATCAATGACGAAGGCTAATAGCCCCTTCAAACACCAACTCATCTGTGGTGTTCTTATAACTGGTCATTGCACATTTAGAATATTTATTTATAGAGACGTTGAGATGTACCTTTTATTAGTATCTGTTGTGCGATGGTTGGTACAGTGCTTCAGCAGCACCCTCTGTAGGAAGCGGGCGGTACTAGGGCCCGTCCGAATCAGGTGGTCCAGGGTTTCATAATTCTTTTTTTCCCTGATGAAAGACTTGTGTTGGTCCTGGAATACATGCTGTGGAAACAAGGTAGAGAGCACTTCCACATTAATAAACTACAATCATCACAACATTGTTTTAAATATAATCAAACATGAAAAATATCAGCACACTTAAATATTGATAAAAGCTTCACAAATTGCATTGATTTTTATCACTTAAAGCGTCTGGAAATAAAAGCAAGTCTCCAATTTTGGAAATTATGCTTATTTTGAAGATAACCTCAAGAGTAAAAGATCATTAAGAAAAAGCTTTCATCTGCATTGAGCTTGACTTCTGTGGTAAGTTTGAGAATCAAATCTGTTACGTATTTTGACATATGCTCTGGAATTGCAATCAAATCATGTTTTGAAATCAGGACAGTTAGCATGCAGAAATGAAAGCCTATGCCCCGCATGTGAAAAACAAAAAATCCTTTCTACGAATGAACACTGGAATGGTAATGTTTCAGCATGTAAAATATTTATTTGTTGCATGCAGAGGCTTTCAAAAATTGAAGAGTGTTAGTCAATTTCCTTCAAAATGGCATTTTTTTTAACCAAATAGCGCACAAAAGACGATATTTACGCATTTTATTATAACTTAATGTCTTTCTTTGCAATTCCATATATCCTGAACCAGTTGTCGAATGAATTTGAATTTTCATAATTGCGCACTTCATTTATTCCAGATTACAAATATAATAACTAATTCCCTGATGAGGCCAGAAATGACCCTTAAAGTCCCTTGTCCTTTCTTGAAAGTTAACCCTTCAACACTGTAGAGCATAATGGACTCATCCATATCAATGTATTGTTGAGTCTATTAAAGTTACAGAGGGGTGAAAGGGTTAAAATTTAAAATTATCAAAAGGCATCCTCTACAGTGTGACTGACTATTTTGCAAGTTTGAAGAGAAAATCTGTGATAATCGTTTGGATTTTTTTTGTGTTTAGGCAAATGTAAAAGTTTTTATTTGCTCTGCCAACTTTGTTGAGCGATGCATAATAAAAGTCTCACCTCATTGGGGGGGAAAGGGCAGGCTAAACCCACGACTAGACTGATAATTTTTATTACCCTATTTAGTCATATTTCCAACTATTTAAATTAAACAGATACGAGTTCTATAACTTAAATCACCTTATCCAGATCATCGTATTTGACCTGACAACATTCACAGTATCCTCTCTTCCGTTCCTGGATCCTCTTCTGTTCCTTGCGCCTCTTCAGGTCCCCAGCAGTCATGATCTTCATTCCACTTAACCCACCACCCTGATTCTCAGAGGGACGGCTTTTCCTAGAAATATACAGTGTATTACATTATTTATCACCACAACAGCAAATCATTGATATGAATTCCAAAATTTGATAACGATTTGCAACAGTTTTATTGACTATAAATAGTGACAATGTTTTTCTTAAGATAAACATCCTGATTTGTCCATCTTCAAAAACACTAATTAAATCTTCTTGGTATAAAATGAAAGCACACAGGAAATGTGTATCCCAGAAGATTCAATGAACACCTCATGACTGCCCTTATTAAAAACTTCCGTCATTATATTATTACAAATTATATCAACAAAATTCACCCTACAATCCATGAAGTAACTGCAATCAGGTTTGTTTTATTTTTACAAAAGGTGTACAAAATGTAGCCAAAGTTTTTTTTTTCCATATACAAAATTTCTTGTTTCCCTTGATTAATGACATAATATGAGTCAATTCCTTCATTAATATCACACTCCAGTGTCTGTCCTTCCACCACCTGAACTGTTGAGTTACCTACCCTTGAGCCTCTGCTCTAGGAGTTTTGTTGCTGCCACTGTTCTGATCATCACCACCTATGCCTGCTGGACTAGCGGGCATATTGTTGTCCATCGGCTGTGCCAGTCCGATTCTGTCTCCTCGCTCTTCTCGGGATCTTTCACCCCGCCCCACTGTGGTCCCATCGAATGGACATGTCCCCTTTGGGGTATCCACATTGGCGAAGGGCCAGTTGCCAAGGTTACCATGAACAGGTCGGTATTGCCTAGTGTTTGATTCAAATTTCAGCATTGGTGATCGCAGTCTCTTAACTACAAATAAAACATAAAATATTACAATGCAAGATGGAAACAACTGATACAGGTAATCTCAGTGTTCAGTGTTGAATAAAAGTTATCTCATTAGGATGGTATATGACAAAAATTTATGAAGATGTGTCTTTGACTAGTCGGATAAAAAAAATAAAAATAAAAATGGTCTCTCCACTACCTATTCATGTTTTAATATCAACCTGACAACTACTTTCTATTCACTCTGTTACTTGCTTTTTTTTGTATTTACTTTCTTGACCCTCTTTTGTAGGTTATCCTCCTGTACTTACTTTTAGATCCCCTGGTATTAGCAGACTGATTACTCTGTAAACAGAAACAAGATCCAACAATTAACTTAACTCAAACAGCTATATCAACCAAGTGTTCCCTCGTAGAGCTATCCTAGGTATGGCGAGGGGATCAGGGACAGGCAGGCACTCATAATTGATATACTTATGTGTGTGTGTGGTAAATATTCGGTACAATTTTTATCAATTTGAATCAAGATGTGACCAGGCGCCTACAATAGGCTGGTATTAACTCTCCTACTTTTTCATACATAGCAGTCTGGACATCATCCCCATCACTGTTTCTGTGTTGTTACAAAAGATTTTTGAAAATGCGGGTTCAAGATATCACTTCATTTTACTGACCAAGAGGGACCAACTCTTATAAAAATTTTGCTGACTTTACTTAAGAACAAGAAATTGAATTTTTGTCAAGTCCAATGTTCTACATTATTCCTGTGATGAAAATGAGATAATTTTAAATATATGACACACAAACCTTTGAATCTTCGGCAGGTAATTTAGCAAGTTCCTTCAGAATCCATTTCAGGGCAGCTGCAATGTAAAAAGATGTAACTAACTCCACTGTTACGCTTAGTGAATAATTCTAAAAAGGCAAAAAAATGTGTTTCTGGTTTCCCTACTGACCAAGTCTTTTTGCCTGCCAAAAGTTTGTATTGGCATTTAGTGATGAGCACTGTTAAAAGTCAGAAGTCCTGGCCTATATAAGCATAGTGAAGTGATTTTTTATTTTTTTTTAAATTGCCTATCGACCCCAATTTTTTCCCAAGCAGAAACAGGAAACAGATTTTTTTTTTTGTCTAAGCTAAATTTGAGTTGGATAATGCTGCCATCTTCCTGAATAGGCCTGTATCTTCAGAATTCAGTGTGTAATTAATGATGTAACCATGATAAGGCTATTTGGAGCACTGGATGTTACAAAAGGTAGCAAGCAGGTGTCTTTATGATTCCTTATTTTATCTAACATTCTAAGAAAGAAAGCATCTATGAGTGAGTTTGTTACAGTGTTACCAGTGAAACATCAGGTTTTACGGTGAAAATAAAGACATTTTTAATGAAGATAGTTTTCTTCTGCGACAAAAAAATGCTTTCTGTTTATAAGTAGTTCCTGCCACACTAGACGACCAATCAGAGAGCAGAACTTATTGTGAATAATATCATTGTATTGTCCGATGTGATGCCACAATTGCTCAGATGTTTTGTTGCTGTGAGGTCACAATACAACACTCCTTGTCTAAACTTTTGTTTGGAGGAAGATGGACATATGTCTTTAGGCCAAATAAAAACATCCATGTGTATCCCATTTCCCAACCCTATTATTTCATGCCAACCCTAATTTGCTATGAATTTTATAAGTTTGGTCAGTGTCATAGTTTTATTTGAAGATGGTAGCTAAGTAGCCGTAGACAAATGTGGTTATGATACAGGTTGTGATCTGTAGATTATTGTGACTGTCTGTAGTTTAGGTGAGGTGGTCCAGTCTGTGATGTCAGTGTGCCTCCAGCTGATGCTGACCACCAGAGTCAAATTTAGCAGGATTTATGGCCAGTTTTTAACAGGATTTTAACAGCATCAACAATTTTAATGAATCAACATTTTTATTGTTACAGGATTTTGCTAAGGGACAGATAGTAAGGTAGTTCAGCTTGGGAGTTGATGGTGGAGAAGAGAGTTGGGATTGGGAATTGAGTTAAAAGAGTCTTGAGGAAGGAGGTTGAGTTAGGGATACCCAGTTGAGAGGTAAAGAGATATAGAGGAGAGCTAGAAAGTTAGAGTTATAAGTGAGAATTAGGAAGCTAGTAATAATAGTAGTTTTAGCTGTTGTTTGCAGATCTGTGCAGTTTTACATATTATAGTTGGAGATAACTAACTTTGAAGTGGAGAGATTGAGTTCATAATAGTGAAGACTTGTATATTTTATGACAGATTAAAAAACGTGTGTTGTAAATATAGTGTTAATATAAATTTACTTATTTTTGTTAACACTGGTGGTAGTACTACTGTCAATTACGGTTGGTTATTCCATAATCATTTAGGTGGGTCAAATAATAATTTACTTCAATGTGTTGTTGGAGCCTGCTCAACACAAAAACTGTGAATGCATTTGTGTATTTATTTTAAATTAATCAAAAAATATATTTGGTGCCTTTCATACTTTATTAAAACAATAACATATTTTTTAACATTCACAGAGGTAATCAGGAGATTTTCTTCACCAAAAATAAAATAAAATATTTTTCCTACCTTCCTCCTACCCATTTTTTTGGAGCCGAAACAGGAAACACACATATATTTTTATTTGGCCTCATAAAGAAAACAAACAGAATATTCTGAAGATTTTTGCTATATAACATAACATTTATATATAATTCGACTCATGGGTTGAATATTTTCTATATTATTCACTTACAGTTTTTTGCTCTCATGAAAAATAGAGAAATAGTCACACTACTTGTAGGCTGAAAATTAGGCATACATAAAATATACATATATATAAGTCCAATCGTTTTCTTCTTCAAGGTATCAAGAATATCCTTGATATATAAATGATAATAAATATATATACATTCTATAAAAGAAAGTAAAGTCAAGAAAACACTTGCTGACAATTGATGACTATGTACCAGAATCTTACAGGTGGGTTGAGATTTTTGTGTCATCATTTTTTTGTTCTATTTTCAAGTCAACTTACCTTCAACTGAAACTATCTTGACCTTCCACTTTTCAGCATTTTCTATAATAGTGCTAGTCTGTAAATAGATATATTCTGGTTGCATTTCAGCAGTCAAAATTAGAGGAATTTTCACCCTAAAATTCTTGTAATGCTTGTGGTCTTCAAATGACTATCAAATTGAGATATAACAGACATACTGAGTTTTCTGATTGTGTATATGATTATTAAATTTAAGAATATTTGAAGCAAAAAACGAACTTGGCCAACAAACATTCAATATAACAACTGGTTCATTACTATATGATGAATGAAAAACTGAAAACACTCATTATTTTTGAGAAAGCCAGGCTACAATATGACGTCATTAGCTTGATTGCAAAACACAACATCGGACATCTCAATGTCACAATCAGAAATGATACAAAAGTTTACACATGTTCAATGTTTTTAGGTCACAGAACAGTAGCATACCTTTTTCTGTAGTTGTGCTTTCTGCAGTATTGCTTTACCCCTGGTAACCTACCAAAACAAAAAAAATAGGTATAACATTTTGCTGCTGAATCACAAACATTCACAGAACTTATTGGTATTAATAGTATCTCTTTACCCTTTGGGGGTGAGATAGAGGAATCTCAACCTGAAAGTTGAGATTCCTCTATCTCGCCCACAAGGTGGTGAATGGTTCTTTTTATCTCACCTCGTTCTCCCATTGTGTATTATATACACAATGAAATGATAATGTTACATGCTAAATTTGGGGTTGACGTGACGTTGATGGATTGTTGACGTTAAGTCATTGTATTGTTGAAGTCCTACCATTGTTATGAATAGGGGAATCCCCGTCTCAACCCTAGGGTGAGACAAGGAAATCTCACAGCGGTAAAAGTGCGGATACACCTGTCCAGGGTAAGAGAAATTGTGTTCTCCCACATCAGACAAGGATATCTCACCTGAAACCAGTGATTTTTTAACCTAAATTTTACGAGATCCTGTAACAGCTAACGCCTTAGTCGGGATTATGTTACAGAATCATAGCAATTGGCTGAGATAATCTGATCTTGCTCAGTTACAGGTAACAATTTTTATTATTTTATCCATTAAAAGTGATTTTTTCACTAGTTTCAGAGTTCACTACTGTTGATACTCACAGACTGGGGTGCTTTAGTTTCAACTGCTCCTGGTGAAGGCGAAGGGCCACAGTTAAAGGGGCTTGGTATTGAAACCCCTGCAGGACTGTCGGCGGACTGAAGCTTGTCCTCATTTCTCTGTTTTGGTCTTGGATGACTTGTGATGAGGTAATTAATTTCTTTGACGAAAAACTTCTCAACAGACTGATGATAAAAAAGAAATAATTCAGATCATAAAGAAATAAACACAAGTACTCAGATATTAGACCAAGAGTAAAAGTCCTCGGTAAAATCACCATGTGGCATTCAAAATGGGTGTGGTTAGTGATTGTACATACACATGCACAAGCCTTGTCTGTTAATACACCTATATATAGCTATAACATAATCAAGATTGCCAACTCCATTATTCTCGGTTGTGTCATAACGTAAAGTTGCTGTTTGATTTTCTAAATTTGACAAACCAATTAGCATTGAAGTCACAAAAGTGGGTGAAAATGGCTAACTTCTCTCAGACTTTCCATCATGTATCACCAGACTGGACTCCGGTGCCCTACAGGATCAACTTTTGGGTATGTTCCATTGAACAAGTTAGTTACGTATCATTGTGACATTGTTCTGTTGCTGAACTTTGTTTTGTGGAGCTATCCACAAGGGATTTATATAATTAGCACAGCATCCCAAGACAGTGGCCAAGCAACTGCATTCTGGCTTGTTTTTGATGTTTAGTGAAGTACACCAATAATTATACAGCATGATATATGTAGTAAGAAATGATACATCAAATTGAAAATAATTTCCCTGGTGATCCAATTCACTTTCGGCATGATATTATGAAGAGCTGACAGATGATACTACACAGATGTAGTATCTTTGGTGCATGGTTGTGACTTAGCGTATACTCATAATATTAAAACATTAAAACATAACTACTTACGGAACCAAGTCTTTTTAAGTCAGCTTCCAATTTCTTTGTGAGACGAATATCTTTGATGTCAAGATAGATCAGTTTACCGGTCAATGGTAGCTTGGGTTGTTTCTGATCATTGTACTCCAGTTTTCTTTTTCCTCTGGGACAAGCACCTTCTGTTTAGACATAAAACATATTTTTATGATAATATACTGTGGCAGAGACATATACATACGTCTCTGACTGTGGTAAGCAATTATGGTACACCTTATCCACATGCACGTATACATTAATAAAATAACAGCCCATGAACCTACAATTTAATAAGATAACAGCGATATATTGACGAAAGTACACATGGTGACTTTGGATTGACCCGATCGCGACCGCCCCATTTTCAAGAATACATGTAAATACGAGACAACCAGTACGGTACTCTATTATTTGGCTTGTTCAAACCACTCACTGTTTTTGGTGTCTTTGCCGTTTGACGGTTTTTTCATTCTTCCTCTAGAAAGTCCCAGTCCTAAAAGTTTACGACGGCTTACCAAGTTTTAACATACACAACAATCGCATTATGAGCATGTTTAAATGAAAGTATATCCATTTTTGATGCATAAAATATCATTTATGTAAGCTCTTTTGGAATTAAAAGTAATCGAACAGCATTTTTAACGGAAATAATATGCCTTTTTGGAATTTAAAAGTTGATGTTGTTTTTCTTCTTCCGATCTTGCCGCCAAACATAGCCCCGCAGAATATTTTTACAACATATCTGATTGGCTGAAATCGGGAACGGCCTTCACCTTAAAGATAATATTTCCAATATGGCCGCGCCCATACACAACGTGTTTGTAGGCTCAGAAATTGGTCTGTTGAAAGGAGTCAGCGTTCAAAAATCTCAGTGGGAAAACATCAACTCAATAGAAACAGCTGAAAAAGAAAATGAAATAAGTGCAATTTGCTGGGGAAATGACGACCAGACTGAAATATGTTTTGGGTTGAAATGTCAAAAAGTGAAAACATATGACACCGACACTAAGGAGTTTTCAGAGGAAAGGGATTTTCACGTTGACGAAGGAAGGTTGAGGGGATTGTTAAGGATTGATAACAATTTTGTAACTGCAACTAGTACAGGAGTTGTCAGACTATGGAAAGATGCGGAGGATTTCACGGAAATACAAGCAGGGAAGGATTTGTATTGTATGACAAATAATCCTGTAACACCAAATGTGTTGGCAACTGGAGGAAAAGAAAATGAGCTGAAAATATGGAACCTTGAAGAACCTGAGAAACCGACATTCCTGGCTAAAAATGTTAAGAATGATTGGTTAAATCTACGAGTCCCAGTTTGGGTAATCCAAACTCGGTTCCTACCTGAGAGTGAGAAGTTGGTCACCACTACTGGTCATCACCAAATACGAGTTTACGACCCGAAAGCACAGCGGAGACCGGTATTAGACTTTACATACGATGAATATCCTATCACAGCCCTATCTACATGGGGCAGACAAGATAACAAGGTGATTGTCGGAAACACACAAGGACAAATGGCACTGATAGATCTTCGCAAGGGAGCCATGGTGCAACAATATAAAGGGATTGCCGGTGGAATCCGTTGTATTCAATGTCATGAAAGTTTACCACTTATGGCATCATGTGGTTTGGACAGATTTCTTCGTATACATGACTTGGAAACTCGTGAACTGTTGCACAAAATCTATCTAAAATCAAAATTAAATTGTCTTTTGTTTGGTAGGAAGTGGGAAAGAGAAGAGAAAAGGGAAACAAGGAGCAGAGGTAAATTTTCAAATGTAAAGGGGATTGAAAATCTGGAGGTGAAGGAAGAAATGGATGAGGAGGATGAAAACATGTGGGAACAGATGAAAGTAGTTCAAACGAAGACGAAAAGGAAAGGTGAAACGCAAGAAGAAAACATAAGTGACTTGAAAAAGAAGAAAACTCAACTGAAGCCACGTGTTGGAAAAACTGTGAAATAGTAAAAGAGAAACAAAAATGATAATGATAAATGTATGAAAATGGTTATCTCCATTTGAAGTCTTGTACTTGGTCAGTTAAGGATTAAAACAAGGACAGATTTTAAAAGAAGCAATAGTTTTTGTTTGTTACTCGTTTAATAGGATAACTCATCCCGGCCCTCTTTTAGCTGAACATGGATGGCTCTTGATTATAAGAGACACATTACCTTTATACCAGGCTTTTAGCCAGGATTTCAAATGTCCCTGTCCAAAACGTTACATGTTACCATCAGAGGACACGTGCACTGCAGTATGAAAAAACTGTATAAAACTGATTTACTGTCAGTTAAAAAAAAGTATGCTGATGAAAACCAACAATTTAAAAAAGTGTTTAACTGATGGATCCTATCAGTATAAGAAAAGTATACCACGGATTGACACCGACAGAATTCAATAAAACGTATTACAATTATGAACTCTGTAAAAAGTATAACAATGATGGACATTTTCAGTTTAAAAAGTATAACACTGATGGATGCTGTCGGTATTAACAAGAGATCCGGGAGGGAACTTTGTGCCCACAATCCTAAGAACTTCATTTTTTCCCTTTTCTTTGCTTATCTGACAGATCTATAGTCTAGTCAACAGTAAATGCATCTTGCGATAACTTTTCATTAAATCTCCCTACAGGTGGTTTTAAAGGTTTCTTTTTAAAGTAAGGTAATGGTTTATTTATTTAGAAGTACTAATAATATTTCTAGCTCACCTGGTATTAATAAGGTAATAGGATTGTGTCACCATTTCTCAGTAGAATTTCTTCAAATTTCTGCCACAAAAAAAATATAGGGTTTCAGAATCTTAAGGATTTTAAATAGAAATTTATGTAAAAAGGAGTGAATTTTGAAAAAAAAATGAAAGACACAATATCTTTACAAAATAATGTCAATAATAATGATACTGACATATATTAGTATTGCATTAATGTTTACCAATTTAATAAATGCTGAAATTGTGTAAAATTAATTCTCTATACACGATATAAAAATTGAAATTTTATAATAAAACCATATACACATAGTAATTGCAGGTAAGAGTTATCGTTCTTGAAAAACTTCACAGTAGTTAAATAGGTAGCCGGTTTCCTGAAGTAAAGAAAAAAATGGACACATGTGACTCATTGATAAAAAAAAACCTGAATTAATGCCTGGATTGCTTTGAAAGACTTTAATATTGAAAGAACACACTGTTCTGTCAATAATAAACATACAATTATTCATCAGTTTAATATTAAACATTAGAATTTGCGGAAATTGTGATACATTGGATTTTCAACTAGGGATGTACTTCCTGTTTCCGTTTATTAATACACTCCAATGACCTTAAGTGCCAGTTGAGCTTATGGGATGGTGTATTGTCCATTGTCCATCTATCAACTTTTTCTTTGAACAACTTCTTCTTAAGAACTGGAGGACCTAGGGCCATGCTATTTGGCCAGTAGGTACCTGGGACAAAATGCTATAAACTCTCCTCAAATAGATTACCTAGGCCTACTTTCAAGGTCATAGGGATTAAATATGTAAAAACCTTTAAGCAACTACTTCTGACTAACCAGGAGGCCAAGGGTAATACTATGTACTTGGCCAGAAGATACCTGACATAAAGTTTCTTAACATAAATGACCTTGACCTTCTTTAAAGATCACAAGGGTCAAATGTGTTTAAAACCTTTAAACATCTTTTGAATAACCAGGAGGCCCAGAGTAATGATATTTGGCCAGTAGTTCCCTTGGACAAACTGATAAAAAAAATAAAGTTTCCTCAAATAAATGACCTTGACCTACTTTTAAGGTCACATGCTTCAAAATTGTAAAAACTTTTTAACAACTTCTCAGAATAACCAGGAGGCCATGAGTACTGATAACTGGCCAATAGGTACCTGGTACAATGTGGTATAAAGTTTCCACAAATTTATGACCTTGACCTACTTTTTAGGTCACAAGGGTCAAAAGTGTTAAAAACCTTCAAACATTTCTTGAATAACCAGGAGGCCCACAGTACTGGGACAGAGTGATATAAAGTTTCCTCAAATAAATGACCTTTACCCACATTCAAGGTCACATGGGTCAAATATGTAAAACGTTGAAACATCTTCTTTAGAATAACCAGGTGGCCATGAGTTATGATACCTGGCCAATAGGTACCTTGGACAAAGTGATATAAAGTTTCCTGAAATAAATAACATAATAATAATAAATAATATACAGCATTTGATATAGCGCCCTATCTAGCTTACATAAGCCACTTTAAAGCACTTTACAGTATATATATATACAATTAATGCAATTAGCATATACATTTATCAATATAATTTTGAGGAATTCGCAGGAGCTGCCTTATCAGGCGCTAACTACTAGTCTTATGCCACCTGGCTGATATCTCCCTATTTGTGTATGCCTGGGTGTGTGCTGGAGATGTAGTGTGTTTTGTTTGTAGTGGGACCGTGCTTCCAACGGCATCATTCATAGTGCCACCTCACTTTAATGCTACAGCACAGATACCGCAACATCCACCCCAGACCAATATATACTCCACATGGGTTGTTAGAGTAGTGTGGGCAGGAGAAAAACACTTTCTCTGAATATCCATGGGTACGACGACTTCAGGGATCAAACCCCAACCGCCTGCGTGGAAGGCCGGAGTGTTAACTACTCGACCAATCAGCCCAAACAATGACCTACTTTCAAAGGGGTTAAATATGTAAAAACCTTTAAGCAACATTTTCTGACTAGCCAGGAGGCACAGGGTATTAATACTGGGTCAGAAGATACCTGACATAAAGTGATATGAAATTTCCTCAAATAAATGACCTTGATCACAAGGGTCAAATGTGTTTAAAACCTTTAAACATCTTTTGAATAACCAGGAGGCTCAGAGTAATGATATTTGGTCAGTAGTTTCCTGGAACAAAGTGATATCATTTTTAAAGTTTCCTCAAATAAATGACCTTGACCTACTTTCAAGGTCACAGGCTTCAAAATTGTAAATCTTTTAAAAAACTTCAGAATAACCAGGAGGCCATAAGTACTGATACCTGGCCAATAGGTACCTGGGACAATGTGATATAAAGTTTCCTCAAATAAATTACCTTGACATACTTTTGAGGTCACAAGGGCAAAAAGTGTTAAAAACCTTCAAACATTTCTTAAATAACCGGGAGGCCCAAAGTACTGATACCTAGCCAGTAGATACCTGGGACAGAGTGATGTAAAGTTTCCTCAAATAAATGACATTGACCCACATTCAAGGTCACATGGGTCAAATATTAAAAAAATAATTTAAAACAATTTCTTTAGAATAAGCAGGTGGACATGAGTACTGATACCTGGCCAATAGGTACCTGGGAGAAAGTGATATAAAGTTTCCTCAAATAAATAACCACCTTCTTTTGAGATCACAAGAGTAAAAAGTGTTAAAGACCTTCGCACATCGTCTTTCAAATAACCAAAAGGCCTAGTGCAATGATATTTGGCAAGTAGGTACCTGGGACAGAGTGATATAAAGTTTCCTCAAATGACTGACCCACTTTCAAAGTCACAGGGGTCAAATATGTAAAAATATTTAAATAACTTCAGAATAACCAGGAGGCCCAGAGTAATGAGACTTGGCATATAGGTACCTGGGACAGAGTGATATAAAGTTTCCCAAAATAAATTACCTTGACTTACTTTCACGGACACAGTGGTCAAATATGTAAATATCTTTGAAGAACTTCTCTTGCAATACCAGGAGGTGATGATATTTGACCAGTAGCATGCTGGGATAGAGTAGTTTAAAGTTTCATTTAGTCTGGAACATTATTACATGTAAGGAGGCACGGTAGTCTAGTGGTAGGACGCCGGGCTCGTGACTGAAGGGTTGCAGGTTTGAGTCATGGCACAGCACTGTGTTGTATCTTTGAGCAAGATACTTTATTCCGCTTGTCTACTCAGCTGTAAACGAGTATATGGTTGGGCAATGCTAGAATTGTTGAATGCATTAGCTGTGAGCGCTAAAATGGCAACACTGGCTGTATGCTCCCAAGGGATTTGAGAAAGATATTGGCTGGTTGCAAAGGTCCTATATCCACGGATAATAACTCGTGAACCGCTTTGAGACGACCTATGAACTAGGTTGTGATTCTGGTTCTGGTCAGTAATCAGCAACGTCCTATTGGATATCACGCTGAAGTGGTATATATATTGATATTGATAAGCCAAGGAGACTCAATATATGGAAATATTTGCAAAAGTGCTTTTATTGAGAATATTTTCCCATGATTGCTCAAATATCGTGGTGAGCTATACAGGCTCTCTGGGCCTCTTGTTAGATAGGTCTCTGGGAGGTGTTAGAATTGTATTTCGTTATACATTTCTTCCTGTGGATTTCATATATATTAGTTACGTAGGTGTATTGGTTTTTATGTAGTGTTTCCGTAGCTCCGACTGTAATGTCATTACAGGGAAGGGTCGCTAATTGGAGGCTCAAAACGAAACATTACGCACCATACAAACAAAGGGAACCTTTATATGAAAATTTGAGAAAAATATGTCAAGTACTTCCTTGAGAAATAGTGATAACAAATTTGAACTATCAAAATCTAAGACGGCTGCTTGGTGGCCATCTTGTATTTTAAATCAGTCCTAGAATGAAAAATGCACACCTATGGACCAAAGGGATCTACGTATGAAATTTGAGAAAGATCTGTTGAGTACATATTGAAAAAAAGATAACAAGCTTGAACTGACACAATATAAGATAGCTGCCTGGTGGCAATGTTGGATTTCAGATCAGTTTTTGAATGACATAACTACAGACCAAGGAAAACCTACCTATGAAATTTGAGAAAGATTTTTCAAATACTCCTTGAGAAATAGAAATAACAAACCTGAACTCCCAAAAGCCCAGATGACTGCCTAGCAGCTATCTTCTTTTATTCAGTCAGTCCAAAAAATAGTACATTTACAACTAAAGGAACCAAGGGAAACCTACACATGAAATTTGAGACAGATCTTTCACGAACTTTTTGAGAAATGGCATATTACAGTCTTGAGCTCTACGAAATTAAGATGCATGCCTTGTGACCCCCTTTTTT